CTGCAACCATGGTTGCATAATATAGGCCAGGCCTTCTTTTAAGATAAGGGAATGGATAATACAGGATTCTTGCCATTGGGTCCAGAATAAGAAAGAACAAAGACGACAGAATGGATCACAAAATGAATAGATATCTACTATGCACGCTGTTGCAAAAAAAAAAAGCAAATGTCATTATCGAATGCACAAACAGGAGTGTCTTACAGACATGTCAAGTAATTATTCTATTCTATTAAGCACTGATGATACCACAGCTGTGTCCAGTTTTCTGCACTGTACTTTTGAAGATAGTATCTACAGTCCAGAATAGAGAAACAAAAATAAGGTTTAGTAAATGTATCCCTTGAGAAAAGTAAAAAAAAAAAAAGGGGGTTTAGTTTAGAAAAAAGAGATAAAGGGGAAGGAGGCAGTACGTTGCAAGTATGTATAAAACTGTTACAAGGAAGATAGTAGATATTTGTACTCCCATCCTCACAGAGTGGTCCAAAAAGTAACTGGTATAATTTGGAGAAAGTCAGATATTGGCTGGGTTTTAAAAACAAACAAAAACCCCTTTCTTTTTGTTTTATCTTGCACATGGCCTTTCCCCCAAAAATTCAGCTATTAGAAATTTGGGTGTGCATTATAAGTAAAGAAATAAGGTAATATCAGTTTCTGTCTCTGCGGCAGGGGGTGGGGAGGAACAAAACTAAAATAACACTGCAGTGTTGCACATGGAGTGCCTTAACTGTGAGCTATGGCCACACTCTCTTTCCCCTCACCAGAAGCTCCTGCTGCAGAAGGAGACACATTTTTTTTTCCTTCTACTTTCAAAAACAAGGAGCATATCTTACTTGGAGACGTTATGTGCGAGAAAGTGTGGTATCATAACAAGCAAGCCATGAAACAGGTGAAATTACAGAGGTTATAGAATCCGCATCATCAAAGATTTTCAAGAGCAGCGCAGATGAGTGCTGTATCCTTAATTCTACCTTAGAGCAGGGTGAAGACTACTGAGGACCTGTCTAATTCTACAGTACATTTCTGATTCTATGCCAATGAACATACTACGATAAAAATATCCTGACTGCATATACCAGTAGGTAGAACTTTTGGGCTGTCTCTAGAAACAGGGGGAAATGTTAAAGAATGCCAAATGCCTACAGCAAGAATTCTTGTATGTAATATTTTATTGGACCAACTGCATTTTTGGGATAATCATAGGCAAGCCTTTCAGGTATCACAGTACCCTTGAGAACAACGTAGAATGATATCCAAGTCTCCGTACATCTACCCCAACCATATGGTTGGCCCAATAAGCGATTGCCCTTAAGAATTCTTGCATCTCGCATATTCCCTGGACCAACACAAGACCATCACCTTGACACTACCAAAAATGCCTACAGCAGCAGTTTTATTTTTTGGGGAGGGACACCTCACTTCCAGTCTATACCCACTTATTGTAACTGAGTTCCGGTGGGCCCCAACACTATTTAGAAGTGTTCTGACCCCAAATAGGATTGAGACACCTAGGGTGACAAGTATCTCATTTGTACTGACATAACATTTTTATGGAGACACTAATTGTGAGCCAATAGAAATTATCACCCTTAATTGTGCCACTTCCAAGGAAAATCAGTGCACAACAAAAGGTAGTAACAGCCTGCTGTTTTATTGTGGTAGATATCTGATAACTCTGCCATGAGAGAGCACGAGCAGCCTGAGCTGCTTGTACTCTCCAACCACCCCAGGCAGGTGCTTTGTAGGCCTGAGAGCCCCTGAAACCTCCAGAACACCTGCCCACTTCCACTGCTTCCAGAAAGGCAAGGCACCCTGGAGAATCTCAGGGTGCTTCTCCATAGGTGGGAAAGCCCTACTTTCTCTGTTCTGCCAGACCTGTTCCAGGAAGCAAGTCTGGCCGAGCAGGAAAAGTGAGGAGATCACATCAACCCTGCATCTTCAAGAACAGGACAAGGGGTGACATGCGTTTTGCCCAGTGAAACAGGTTAGCTGTGCTGTGCCACATCATAGCACAGATGGTCCGCTTCATTCGGTGATGTCCGTTTCCACTGTGAGAACTGTTCATCAAAGGATAGGAAAACATGACTGTCGCAGAGAAACACAACAGCTGTAAATCCTTATACGTACATCTACCTCATGTCCAACACAACAGCTATAAATTAGACACTATTACCTATACACTCTCTTTATTTTTTAAACTTCCTCACAGTGATTCCCTTAGGCAGTCTGTTTTTTTATTAAGGTTCTGAATAGGAAACACATCCTAAAAGGATGCTAAAAGGAACACATTTGATTTACCTTTTAAATCCTTCTCTCTTTACTTTCTATCCACATAGATTTTTGTGACTACCAAGTACTATAAGAGGGTAAAGCACAGTTAGACCAATAATGACCAAAATACAAAATTCAACAAATACAGGACTGGATTAGACATCCTGTTCCCTGGATCCAGTTTCTAAACATATCACTCTCTTCTGTCTCTAGAGCATAACAAAACATAAAGTTAACAATAGGATTTTTTTTCAAGGTGAAGATGGTTGAGAATGTTGTTATAGGAAAGCTATAAAGACAAACCCCATCTATTTAATCCTGAGTGTAGTGAGGGTAATTGTCCTTCTTGTTTGATCTTGTAGTAAGTTCCACATTCTTGGCCTGATTCCTACAGAAATTCTCCTTTAGATAGAAGTCTTTCCCATGTGTCAACAGCATAATTTTTCCAGTGTAACTAAGCTATCATGAGAGGTCATTGTGCTGATTGTTTAGGCCAATGCCATCAAGCCTTTGGAGAGGAAAAAAAATATATATTGGCAAAACAGCCTTGAACAAGTCTGCTTAACAGGGAACAATAAAATGAGATGATGGTCCCAATAGTTTGCATTGTGAGATGCGCTGTTGCATTCTGGACTAGTGACTTGTTTCAAACACTGCTCTTCACTTTGACATGTGAATTGCAATAGTTGAGTTGGTCCATTATAAAACTGTGGTTCTGGCCAGATCAGAATTTGACAGGATTGGGCTACTTGTCTGGCCAGGTAAAGATAAAAAAATACTCTTTATTAACATGGCTATTGGATGTTTCATCATATTGCAAAATAAGACTAACAATTTTACAATCTAATAGTAAATGTTTTCATTGCTGGGGGTGATATAACTAAATACGTGAATTTTCTAAAACTAATTTTAAATGAAAGTCTCCATCTCTGCAATAGTAACCAATTGCTTGCATTAGTCAAAAGTAATGGTAAACAAACCAGAGACAAGCAAACTTTCACAATTTATCTTAAGCTGTTATGCTTAAACCTGATCATTTGTGTCAACATTGTTAAATGTTTCACTGCAGGTCACCCCAGCGGAAACCTCCAGTTAATGCAATTTAGTAGTAAAAAAGGATGTATTTAGTTTCCCCCCAATCATTTGAAAACATTCTGTGAGAAGTAGCCTTTAGTATTTGAATATACATATGCAGACAAAATGCATCCATTTGCTCTGAAGCTACAGAAAGCAGACACAGTACAAACAGGAAAAACCAGATGCAATGTCTGCTAGTTATTGAAATCTTGCTTAATAGAATCAGCTGCACATCAGTATCAAAACCAAAAGCCAATTGCCAAAAGCATTTACTGAAGGCATCTATTGATGCTTATTAGAATCTTGTTTACTAGAATCAAAACCTGAAACCACACTCATTGCACACAAGTATGTGTCCTACCTATTAGAATAAAATCTGCATACATGAATGTTCGCTGTAGTTATGCAATGGCCAATGACTAATCAGCACATACAATCATGGCATCAAGCACAAGCAGAAAGACATTAGCATAGCAAGTTAATTGATTGATGTTTATAGTAATGAGTGAAATTAAATGAAGTACCTAGACTGTAAGGAGTTTCTTGATGGCACTCCACATGGTTTTACTTTGTTCTCTTTACTTGCCACTGTTTATTAGAATCAAGTGTTCTGCCCAATGTAATTTTTTTTAACTTCTGGATGGGATACAGTGGGATCTATTGCTACATTGACTCCTCCACAATAGACTAGGTATAAACCACAAAGACCGTTGCAGACACTGTTATCCTTATCATCAGTGGGAAGATTCCTTTGTCCCTACCCAAGAAGTTGTTAGCTCATTCCTTTGATTAAACCCATAGGAAAAGTTTTATCATGTGAAAGTATGAAGTACTTATCATTGTCCATAAATAGGGTAAATTTGTGTAGTGTTTATGTAAAAATCTTAAACTTCCACAATGCAGGTTACATTTGTGGTGGATAAACCCACTGGATAAAAAGAACAACTTCAGGGCAGGGGCATATGGAAAGGTTATTGTGAGGTAAACAAGGGTGAGGAGTTGCAGTATGTAAGCTATTCCATGATAAATCACCTATGTGCATGCTTATACCCCAAAATAAATGAAAGGTAGCTCTCAGTAGCTAATTTGGTGCATCTAACTAAAACTGCTATTCTCTCTTTGATATGCTGCTTGAAACTGTGCATTCATTTCCAACTGCACTTCTACTATTCTTTTAAATTAAAAAAATATCGGATTAGGTACAATTATATTTCACTGGAGTTGAAAATGTAATCATATAATGGAAGTCAGGTAATTACCGTATTTCACAGTGCACAAGTCCAGTTTTGAAGCCCAATTTTTGTCTTCAGAATGTTTCAATGTTTCAGAAAAAACATTTTTGAAAGATAACTCATGAAGACATTTGTTTTTAATATTGATTGCAGGCAGCATCCTGTAATTGGCTTTATTACATTTTTAAAATACTTTTTTATTTAGGCAACATATGACAGATTTGGTCAGTTTCTTTTTAAAGTTTTTTAAAGTTAATTTTTTTTAGTTATCAATGATCCATCAACGCTGCTTTCAGAGAGCCAAAAGCTTCTTCCCAGTGCAGAAGCTCTAACCATTGATCACCTATATTCCTACCATCAGGCCCCTGAAAGAAAGAAAAAAAAAAAAAGTAAAAGATGAGGGAGTAATAGGAGTGAAGGGTTTATTCCGTGTTCTCTTTAAAGGTGTATAAAAAGTCTCAAAAGGTATTCCTGTGCCCACAAAAAAAACTTTTGTCCTCGTTATTTTATAAACATCAGCTTTGGCTTATGTAGTTTAATTGGGAAATTCAGAGGTTGCATGCTGTTAAGTCTTATAACACTTCCTTTCTTCAAAAATGTTAACCACTAGACGGTTTAAGGACTCTCAAAACTAACAAAAATTAGTTTGGATAGTTCAACTGAAAATCCCTTCCTCTTCAATCACTTAATTTACACCATTATAAAAGTGGGGTCTACATTGCAAAAATCCACTAGCCAAGAGAGAACTAACTGCTACTATAAAAAAAGTTGCAGCTTGCACGAAAGGAAAAAAAAGAAACCTTTCTAGACCCTTTGTACATAAGGCATCCAATAAAGTTTGTAAGTCCACTTTTTCCTTTGAAGGTAACTTAACAACTCCCACCAAAAAACTTTCAAGTAGTACTTAAACATCTGTTGTTTAACCTTGGGATGTATAATCTACTAGCAGTTAAGAAAAACAGAAATATCTGGATTCATTAATTCAAAAATATAACAATTTTGAAACTGGCCTTTTATTTTTTAATCTATTGGCAATACAAAAATATATACTAGCTACAGTATAACACATTTATATTAAACATGTCAGGAATATAAAAACATGAGTAAAAAGAATGAGCAAATGCTGAAGAGAGGAAATTATATATTAATACTATTGGATTTTGATTCATTTATATTGAGCAGAAATATTAATCAAGCTAAAAGTCATTAAACCAATTGCTTTTCCCATTTTACAGACATCCTTTGTTTAAAATGTTTTAAAATGCTTTGAGATTTTTGTAAGTGTAAATGTTATCTCATTTGGTTACTGCTTGTTTTTCTTGTCCTGGACAATAAGAAGAAGAAAGTTTACTTCATTTTATTATTGATGCTTGCTTTTCATTTTCAAGTTCTCAGACATTAAATATGTGTTTACATTTCAAAGCCTACAGGTTTTGAACTGATGATGTTACAATGGTATTAGAAATCTACCGAAGGGTCCAGTGCTATGTGACTAAAGCAAAAAAAATATTAAGTACTCACCTGCTTTCCTCAACTGGCTAGTAATACCCTATATCAACACCTCACAGAAACTACCTCACTTCTAATGTAACTCCACTGAAAAAAACAATGCAAGGATCAGCTTCTCTGTATTTGGGTTACCAGCTTCCAATCTAATAAGACATGTTCCTCTAGATCCTTGATCATAAAATGGGAGCTATAAAATAAAAATAATGTATATACAAGAACATGTTGATCAAAGCAAATTTGTTTTTAATTTCTGAAACAAGCTTTCAAACAAATTTGTTTTGAACTTTTAAGTTTCAATACCTTTATCCTAAGGCATGGATTTCTGTTCACTTCCCCCTCCTCACCAGATTTTTCCACCTGCCCCTTTCTGAAGTAAAGGGAGGGAAGGGAGAAGTCACTTCACTTGTGCTTTTAATTAAGCTAACACTTTGATATTCCTTGACCTGTAGAATTTAGTCCTAGAAAATATGAGTTATCCCCTAAATCACTTGTTTAAACGTTTCTTCAAGTTTTCTAGATCTACTGCATCAACTTCATGGAGAAATAATACCGTTGCTTTTGACTCATGGGGGTTAAACTCAACAGTCATCAAACAGCAAAGATCTATTAGTTCTCTTTGGCATCTCTGTAAACCATCCTTAAGTTTTGGATGTAAAGCAGGATCTTTCTTTAACATCTTCATTTCAGGCACTGAAAACCCAATCAAACTGGTTAAAATTTCATCAGCAAAATTTACCTCTAGGTAAGAAGTACCATCAGAAATTTTTGCCAGGACACTCCAGAAACCATTGTTGCTTGTAAGATTTCCAGTAAGGGTTACAATGAAGGCTTTAAGTTTCACAGTTGTAACTGTTTCTGGCTTATTTGCAAGGAGCACAGAAATATATGTAAAAGGTGGAGAATGTAAATCAAGACCTCTACAGTTTTCTGTTGCTTTGGAAGAAAAGGCTTCTACATTGTGCTCCTGCTTCGCAAGTTGTGGTTCATTTTTTGAAAAGTTAACTTGTCCATTGTTCAAAGGTATGTTGTCAGAAAAGCTATGAGGTTTCTGAACACTCTTGACTAGGTCCACTTTGCTACCAGCCTCCTGTTCAAAAGGATTTTCCAATGACAAATCAGCTGTAAAGTTATGGGTCTGCCAGACACTATGCTGTGGTGAGAAATTATTTGTATTACTTTTGCTTCCAACAGATAATTCTCTCTCCAAAAACTGATGTTCCCTAGTACATTGTGCAAGTTTATAAACCCTTTCATTTTTACCATCTTTTTCAGGCATGCAATTTAAAGATGAAATGCATGAGGTTCTAGGCATATTTGAAAGTTGTTCTGTAATTATAGATACATTTCTGTCTTCGACCAGAGGCTGCACTCTCTGAATTTCTTCTAGCTCTTGTTGGATCTCTTCTTCTAAAAATAAAGCCTCCTCTAATGCAATGCCATCTAAATCTCCATCAACATACTCCACAGCTGGAACACTTGGCTCTTTATTTGCCCCAGGCAAAGGGTTCCCAAATCTTTGTTGCGAACAGTTTCCACTGCTTGAAGTAAGTGAAGGTGTGGTTGTATTTGAACTGTCACTTCTACTACAATATCCACTTTCTAAGGCTGTCTCAACATTTACAGAAAATGCATTTTCATCAAGACTTGCTAAAAGCTCTTCATCTGAAGGCCCTATATCTTGGCCCAGCTCATCTACAGGTCCTGCAGTAACTCGTTCATGATCACTTTGTTCAACAGGATTAGGGTTCTCAGCTTCTCCAATCAATCTTGCAAGGACTCTTTCCTGACTGTACTCCTGTAGAAGAACATCCACTTCACCCCCTAGCAATTTCACATTTTCTGGTTTAAGCAAGAGAACTCCAAGACGATACACAATGTTACCTTGCACCATAATTTTTGTACCTGGAGGAAGACCACTATGGAGAACAGGAACTGGTTGGTATTCCATACCCTGAATCTGATGTATTCCATCAGTTAGCTGCAGCATTAGCATTCGAGTAGGCTTTGCTTCCCAGGTCTTTTGAGATGCCTGATTGTTGGCTGTTACTTCTTCATTTAGGGTGCTTTTCCCTCTTATCTTTTGCAATTGGGAATATGCAGGCTGGCTGACATCAACCAATGAATCAATCTGTATGGAATAAAAGCCAGAGAGTTCTCCTTTAGGAGCATCTAAGATACCGTCAGGCAAAACAGGATATTCCAAATCTCTAAGATCCGTAAGGAGCCACTGCTCAAACACTTGTTTGTTTATTTGAGCTTGTGTTAAATTATCACTGCCATTTTCTTGCTGGATCCAGTTAATACAAGCTTCTAACCATGTCCGAGGAACTTTAACATGCCATGTAGATGAAAGCCAGGTTTGCACTCTTGCTGCAATACTAGAAGTAGACATATTTTAATCTGGAGGAAAAGTGCAAGAAATCCCTAAAAAGAAACAAGAGATGTGTCAACTTTCTGGCAGCGGCCAAATAAAATACACCTTTTGATTTATGCTCTAGTTTGCTCCTTAATATATAATTTAGCTACTCCAAATGTGACTACATAAAAAAAGCAATTAAAATTTTCAATTATAAATACATTCCTGTAGAACTGGAAAGAAACCAATAGCTCTATGTATTTAAGTACAATCAAACTTGAGCCAATAAACAAATGCCAACTCGTATGAAAAGTCTAAGTATCCAGTTTCTCACCACAAAATGAAGGGAGAAAGTTGTGAGACTTCTACCAGTGCCTTCCACAGAAACCCTCTTCTTGGCTTCTGGCAAGTACAATTCAAACTCTCCTTTTAGTTTCTGGGAAAAAGAAAACCTTGCTTCTTCCATAAACTAAATAGCAAAAGGGGGAGCAAGTTTCTTCTCAGCCACAGTTTACTATTTTTCTCTCTCTCTAAGTTGTTTTGGCACAAAGTTCCCAAACAGCTAT